ACCAGTACATACCTAACCCTAACCATTACCAGTACATACCTAACCCTTACCAGTACATACCTAACCCACCCACGGCACATCATCTTACAGGGTCTGGACTTTGGGCCCCATAAGGAGCAGTCGGTCCTCACAACATAGTGTAAGTTGGAAACATGGGCCTTACGAGGTGACTTAAACAAATACGTTGCTATTATCACTCAGCCCTCTGTGAATAGCAAGCGGCCAGTGGGCACTACCGATCGGTCATTAGGCTGATGGTCCTCCTTGATCATGTGAACAGCTAGTTCTGGATGTTAACAACAAACTGGTTGATCCAGTGTGAGAAGGTGCTATTTATAAGACTGATCTGAATACAGCTCCTCAGAATGCAGGTTTACTTGTGGTTCCTAGAGTTTCCAAAAGCAGAATGGGAGGCAGATCTTTCCGTTATCAGGCTCCTCTCTTCGGGAACAACTTCCAGTAAAGCTGACACTCCGTCTACTTTAATAGGCTGAAGACTTTGCTTTTTACTGAATCCTATAGTCAGGGTTGGCTTGGGTTTCCTGAGCTAAAAGGCCGTTGTTACTTTCCTGTGTGCTGCTCATGAAGGGAGACTGTGATGAAGTGAAGATCTGGTGCAATCTGCTGTCTGTGAAAGAGACAATGTTCATGTGGGGGGAGTTTTAATGCATGTGCATGTTTGTTTTTAAAATGACTGATGTGAACGGACAGGAAACATCTCTAGATGTTCGTTAACAATCTGGACTTTCCAGCTGAACAACAGGTTCTTGAGCAGCAGCTCAGATTCCCGTTGTCCCTTTTTACTGGACCGAGGCTGAACCTACGAGCAACGCTTCCACGCTGAGAACTACCTGTCTCTCCATCTCACCTGTTCAGCCTTCAATCAATTATTGATGAGTGGGTCGCCTGCTGGGCTGAGACAGACGGGGAGGAGGAAGAGGAGCGCGCAGCAATGGAGGCGAGACAAGGAGGCGGGACAAGGAGGCGGGACAAGGAGGCGGGACAAGGAGGCGAGACAAGAAGAAGAGACAAGGAGGCGGGACAAGGAGGCGAGACAAGAAGGAGAGACAAGGAGGCGGGATAAGGAGGCGAGACAAGAAGGAGAGACAAGGAGGAGAAACAAGGAGACGAGACAAGGAGGCGAGACAAGAAGGAGAGATAGGGAGGCGAGACAAAGAGGTGGGACAAGGAGGTGAGATGAGATGACACAAGGAGGCAAGACAAGGAGGCAAGACAAGGAGGCGGAGACAAGGAGGTGAGATAAGGAGACGAGACGAGGAGGAGACGAGGAGGAGACAAGGAGGCAAAACAAGGAGGCGAAACAAGGAGGCGAAACAAGGAGGCGAGACAAGGAGGCGGAGACAAGGAGGCGAGACAAGGAGACGGTTATCATCCTACCCACCGGGCAACAACTCAGCAGGAAGTTATATTAATTATAATTCTATATTAATTTGTGCTCCGGTGTTCAGACTGCGAAGGAACTAAAACCGTCAGTGATTATTTTAATTAAACACACGGAGTTCTTTAGAGGAAATAGTTTGCATGAAACTTTTAACATGTGACTGCTCAGACTGACCGTTGTGGAGGACTCAGCTACTACCACCCATCCTGGAGCCAGGCCTGGGGGTCTGGATCCAGGATGGGGCCCCTGGAACCTGCTTCCCTGTCAAGAGAAATGCTTTGAGAGTATTTGAGGTGCTGCCTATAAAACACGCGCAGCTCCTTTCAACAACAACAAAAAGAACACACGGCTGCTCCCGTCTGCAGAGTCTCCACAGAAAACTCATGAAACGTTTGGTGACTGGTTTACACCGGATGCCCTTCCTGGTGCAACCTGGGCTCGAACCAGCAGCCTCAGGATTGTAAGGCTGCGGCACTTAACCAGTGAACCACGGCTGCGCCCACAACATCAAAAGTTAAATAATACAGGTGTGTTGAGGAGCAGTGATCGCTCATAGGTGCATCTTATTTTACTAATCAAGTGGCTTCTGACAGAAATGCTTCATCCAACACCACATTCCAGTTTTAGCTGTTTATATTTTAAATTAATTTGTTTAATCCATTTCACTCTATAAACCTCGAGTACTGTGAGTGGGGTCAATTACTTCTAATCAAACTGAAGATGTTTTTAAATTCTTGGTTGTAAGGGGCAAATCCACAACCAGGAAGGTCAATAATTAAAAAATAAACTATGTATTTGGTTCCTAACAGTCACTTGCTGTTCCCTCAAAAATCAAAAAGAACATTTCACATTAAAAGTGTCGTGTTAAAAACACACAATCAAATGTGGCTTCATACTGATCACGCAGATTAACTGCATCACTTCAGACAAGTTAAACATCAAAACGTCTTTTTATGCTGAAACAATAAAAATGTCACATTTCACGGTTGCGTCTCTGCAGAGGAAAACTTCAGCCGAAGGCGGACAAAGACGCCGGTTTGATTCCCGGCTGCCGTGTTTCTGGTGTTGAACACTCACGTGCGTGTTTGTCTGCCAGAGCGATGAGCGTGCTGGAGATGTCCCTGCGCCGGTAGAAACACACCACTTTGGCCTCCACGTTCCCATTGGCTGTCTGCAAACAGAGACAGCAGGCGTTACCAAGGCAACAAGAAGTGCCACACAACAAGTAACAACACATGCACGCTGGTGTGCATGCATGCTGATGACAAATGTGAAGACGCCTTGTCTTGTTCAAATTCACCTAAAAACAAAGCAAGAAGTTAAAATAGTTGTCAAAAATCTAGAGTGGAACTGATCACATGACGGTGGCGCTGATCACATGACGGTGGCGTGCACGTGCAATCCGTTAACGGTGGTTTCTTCCTGATACGGCAACATTAGTCGGCTGAAACAAAAAGATGCATGACCGTTCAACTGAACAAAGAATGAAAAAAGAAAAGAAAAAAAAAACCTTTCTATTCCATCTTCTATTATGAGCTACTATATCTTCCAACGAACAAACGTGCACACGCTAACGTGCACACGCTAACGTGCACACGCTGATAAACCTACAGTTCAAGTCAAATGCGGGGCCGAGCAGTCCTTGGAAACATGCACCACGTCCACATTTCATGATTTTAAACTCAAACTGTCTCATGATGACAAAACATGTCCACAGGGTCCCAGTAACATCCAACAATAAAATGTAAAATAAAAACAGTGATAAGATCCAAGATACGAACTAAGAACAACATCAACTAAAAATACACTAAGCACTCATAACATAAAAACATTACGTTGAACAGCAGCACGAACATGAGTCTGTGTGAGCAGATGAGCACGCATGAACACAGCAACATGAAACAGATCAGCAGCAACACGAAACAGATCAGCAGCAACATGATGTGATTTTTCACAGTGATTATTCTAGTTAGAGATTCATGAGTCTAACAGCCTCAGGGTAGAAGCTGTTCCTCAGTCTAGTGGTTCTACACTTAATGCTCCTCAACCTCCTTCCTGAGGGGAGTGGGGCAAAAAGTGTGTGTGCTGGGTGAGTGGGGTCCTTCATGATGCAGGTGGTCCTCTTCCTGCATCTGGAGGTGTAGATGTGATGGTGGGGAGACTGACTCCAACATCTTCTGTGCAGCCTTCACCACTCTCTGCAAAGCTTTTCTTTCTGCAGCTGTGCAGCCTCCATGCCACACATTGATGCTCGAACACAGGATGCTCTCCACTGCACACCTGTAGAAGGAGGTGAGGACTGAGCTTCCAGACCAGCTCGCCTCAGCCGCCTGAGGAAGTAGAGTCTCTGATGAGCTTTCTTCATCAGGCTGGTGGTGTTGTTGCTCCAGCTGAGGTTGTTGTTCAGGTGCACACCCAAGTACTTGTAGCTGGAGACCACTTCCACCGCAGATCCTCTTATGTTCAGGGGGGTGTAGGTGTTTTTGTTCCTTCTGAAGTCCACAATCATCTCCTTTGTCTTCTTCACATTGATGTGAAGGTTATTCTCTTTGCACCAGCTCTCCAGGTGTTCCACCTCTTGCCTATAGCTGGACTCATCATTGTTTGTGATGCATCCCACCACCGCTGTATCATCTGCAAACTTTACAATGTGACAGCCTGGATGGGTAGCTGCACAATCATACCTGAGCAGAGTGAACAGGAGGGGGCTCAGCACACAACCCTGAGGAGAGCCAGTGCTGAGGGTTATGGTGGAAGAGGAGAAGTTGTGGATCCTCACTAACTGTGGTCTGTTTGTTAAGAAGTCTAGTACCCAGTTGCAAATGGAGGGACTTAGTCCTAGTGTGAGTAGTTTGTCCATCAGGGTTTGGGGGATCATGGTGTTGAAGGCGGATGTGACGTCCACAAAGAGCATACGGACGAAGGAGTCCTTCTGCTCCAGGTGGGTGAGAGCAGCGTGGACCACAGAGGAGATGGTTGTCCTCTGTTGATCAGTTCTCGCAGTATGCATAATGATGAGGGTCCTCGTTGATGTTTGTTTTGATGTGGGTCATGACCAGTTTTTCAAAGCATTTAGCGACTATCGGGGTGAGGGCCACTGGCCGATAGTCATTCAGACCAGTCACTGTAGAGCTCTTTGGGACTGGGATGATGGTGGCAGTCTTCAGGCAGGTGGGAACTGTCGCCAGTGTAAGTGAGGAGTTAAAGATGTCAACCAGCACCTCACAGATCTGATCGGCACATTCCTTCAACACTTTTCCGGGGATGTTGTCTGGGCCGGTTGTTTGAGGATAAATCCTCCTGAAAGTACTCCTTACTTATGCCGAGGTCACGCTGAGAAGCTCTTCATTGTCTTTTTCCTGGAAGCTGCATTTCTAACATCCTTCAACCAATAAACCCACTGTCCTTCCTCTGGACATGTCCAAACCACTGTCCCTCCTCTGGACATGTCCACACCATCTCAGTCTGGCCTCCATTAATTGTCCTAGCTGTGCTGTACCTCTGATGATCTCACTGTGTAGAAGGACATCCACCTGAAAAGGGTTGTGCTCTCTCTTATGCGACCTGAACCACAACGTGTGCCCTTAAAGTTTTACATCAAAACGACCGGCTCGGCACACTGATGCGTGTTGTTACTTTTACTGAGATTGAGAGTTACCATGGCAACGTAATTTGCAAACAAAGACGCTGTTTTTCTGTTTGGTTTGGCTGTAGGAGTTCTAGTTTTTCCATGAGGTCCTTCAGAAGACAGAACTTCTCACTCCCGTGTTCCTCCATGATAATTCTGACAACTCTTTTTTGTTCTCATCAGTTTGTGACGAGTGTTTTTACCTCGTCATATCTCTGACATGTGCTGTAAAAAAGGTGAAAATTCACGAGTGTGAACCAATCTGTGTCACTCAGGCTTCAAGAACTGGTTCAGTAGACCTTACAGTTTTTACACAGCAGCTGTTTCAACAAGATGTTCATGAATTATGTCACTTTTTCTCTTAGCATCTGTGTTACTGTACCCTGCTCTCATGCACGCACGCACGCACGCACGCACACGCACTTAGAAATACATGTAATCTTAGATAGTCCGTCTGTTAGCAACATCTCATGAACAGCTCCTTGGATTCGTTTGAAACTCAAAGTAATCATCACATGTATCTCTAGAAATGATTAACGTTTGGAGCCATTTTGATTCAAGATGGCTGCCACAGCTACCTCAGCAAACAAAACTGACATTCTTTGAGATATTGAGCTGAAATTTAGTACGGTTGAAGCGGAGAGCGAGTTGTTTTACATGTCTAATGAAAATCCAATATCCAAGATGGCCGCCTTAGCTTAAAATAAAAAATGACAAAAACGTTTTTTTTTAACCATCTTGAGTTGAAATTTGTAAGGTGGTAATTGAGAGCGAACCCAAACACAGCCCTGTCTAATCAAAATCTAAACAATCTTTGTTTCCTGGTGCATGCTCAAATCTTCTTCGTTAGTTTTTCAATAATTTAAATTCGCTTTTCCTAATAAATCAAAAGGCTAAAGAAACAAAAATATATTGGTGTTTTATATAAATAAAAATATGAACACATTTAAACTAAAACTGAACCAGAATTAGTTAAAAACATTTTAAAACAGATTTACATTTTCACATTATGTCAGGAAAACTGATAAACAGGCACAAGTTAAAGAATGACATCTAGAAAAAGGTAATTAAGTTAAATTGTAAAAGTATCCATTCAAGCAGACTTAAGTTTAAAATCCTGAATATTAATGAGTGTTCCAGTTACGTGCACGCCAAGACTTGGTCAAACACAAGCAGAGAAACCGAAGAAACGGAAACATGGAACACACGAGGCCGGATGAGAAAACGAGTTTGTGTAAAACATAAAACATTAAACGAGATCAAATGTCAGTTCACCAGTATGAGGTGGAATGATACGCTACTGATGGTTTTACAAGAAGAACTTAAACTAATTTAAGTTCAAGCTGTCGCACTCAGACCTTTCAGAGAATTTATGCTGACGTGGAAACATGTGAAACATGCCGGTCACATGTTGGTGGCATGTTGAGTCCTTCTCTGTGGTTGAGGAGGACAACCTGACCAAGTCTGTACGTCAGATGGTTTCCAGGTGCCCTACATAGAACGTGAGTGAACTTATCCTAAACTCACGTGTTGCACACCTGGAACTTATGTCGAACTGATGGGCAACACGTTGGCATTCACAGAAAATGTTGTGAAAAATTACTGAAGTACATCAGCTGGTAGCTTCTTATTCAACCTTTGTTTATATGGGTTAGTCTCATGGAGTCACGAGGACCCATTTATATCAGCATCAGCACAGTTTTCATTGTTTTCATACGTCGATGCATCGCAGTGTGGCATGGTTTGATTTTACCAGTTAACCTAACATGCATGTTTTGATCTTACCAGTTAACCTA